TTTTAAATGTTTGGCATGGAAGGGCAGAGCTTTAAAATTGTAGTACAGCTAGCCACTAGGGGGTGCTCATCTTTTGTTGCTTCAACTACCAGTTTTCAGTCCTGTTTCTAGTTACAATATATCTCAACATAATAGACCAACAGTGGTCAAAGGCAAAAACAGCTCCTATTGACCTCCAGTAGCATAACCCCTACAACTGTGGAGCAAAACTCTTTTTTTATCCTTTAAGATCACATAAAAACTAAAAAAAAGAAAGATAGAAAGCAAGTCTCTATATCTACAGCTGCTTAAAGTCTATCAAATTATTCTGTCCACACAGATTCTCCTGAGCTGAGCACATGACAGATTTTTCCACATTGTCTGTGTGTGAAACAGCTCAGATTAGACCCAGTATCCCACACAGGAAACAAAATCTAATCAGGTAAATCCTTTGCTTTCACAGGGCCATTAACAGGCTTCTGATGGGATAAAACACACCGTTCTGCCATTTGCACAATACTCACATAATAATCAACATCCACAAAAAAAAAAAGTTAAAAAAAAGTAAAGCAGAGAAAATTCCACCACAGTGTCCTCCACCTCATCGGATAATCATCTTCACTGAATGCATGGAAAATTCCTTTTCACGTTGTTCAGCCTCTATAGTAGCAGGCTGATGCATTCACAGTGTGTGGTGTAAATGTAGGTGTGATAAATACAAAACACTGAATGGTGGCAGCTGGAAGGARATAACATAAATAAGACCCCCAAAGCAACCTTGATTTCTAAAAAGAAAAATAAAACTTCTGGTAAAATATGCATTACAGATCATTTCAACCTATCCCCATCAGTGTTACCGTATTTTTGTGTGCTATCTTTAACTTCTTTTCTTCTGTAAAGCTGTGGAGAAATAATATATCATGTTGCAGCAACAACACCATTATGGTGCTGAAGGATGAACYTTAATAACAAACGCTATCAGAGATTTTAAGGTCATTGCATAAAGTAATGTCTTACYTTGCCAAGAATTCCCCTGAGCTGCTGTTGCTCTGTTGCGTGTCCAGACAGTTTGTGGTTCCYGGTATGAGTGCCATGGTGGGGTTTTCCAGGGCCGCACTGCCCACCGCACGTGTAATAAGCTCCAGCGAGTCCTGGACGTAATGATCCACAGAAGGCGATCCCATGACCCCGTGAGCAAGTAGCCCCAAAGGCAGCCCCTCYGTCCTGAGCTCAGCCACATTCTGACTGTCCCCCAAGACCCAGTGAAACTCTGGGAGTGTCATCCGAGTGGCCAGTGTCCACAATCGGCGCACCTCGCGGATGTCACAGCCAAACGTCACCACTCCCGTTGTGGACGAGTGACCTTTCAGGGCCTCCAGCTGTCGCATGAGAGCTTGCTGCTGGTCAGACTTGGAGGAGAAGTTGGATGAATAGGATGAAGCGGTGGGTATCAAATATGGCAAAGGTAAGGCGTCTGCTCCCAGAGGGGCGCCCGGTGCCACCGCTGGGGAAGTTAATGAAGACGAAGATGGCGGAAGTGGTGTTTGTGTCAGGTTGACAAGAGTGCCCAGGTGGAAGCGGGTGTTGTTCTTGATGAGGACAAGGAAGTTGCTAATATTCCACTCCTGGCAGAGCACAATGCTGATGTCCCACCAGCCATTCATCATCAGCAGGTAGTAGAGGAGATGTGATGGTGGGGCTTCCACCGTCCGCATGGCCATTTGGAAATGAAGAGGATTCTGTGGAGAWTGGAATTGGGACGGGAGAGAAAAAAAGATTAGAAGGTTGAGGTGCTGTGAACAGAGAGAAGAAAATCAGAAGATAAATTGCCCAAAAATGGTAATAAACAGAAACAGATTTAAAAACAGTGATAGAAGTGATCGTGGAGAATGATATGAGGTGGGGGTAAACAAATAGAAAGTGTCAGTTGTATTGTTTAAAGGGCAGACGTATTGGAGGGGAGATAAAACAGAGTGGGTTTGTGAGAAACAAAAGCAGAGGAATGCAGAGGTGGAATGCAATGATAAGGGAAGGAATGGTAGGTTGGACAGTAATGGGGAAAAGCAGCATCACATGGATGAAATGTAGCAGAGAGTGAGAAATAAAGAAGAAAAATAGAAAAAAAAAGACAAAGGAAAGCCTTTTAAATCCAACAGGAAAATTACTTGCAATCTAAAAATTCAATTTGCTCTTAAAGAAGAAGAAGAAAAATAAAAACAGTCTACTGGATATAATGGATTTCAATCACCACTTTCTAGCTCCTATGAATATAATTACTCACATCATATGAGACACATTKATGTTTATGTGTAGACATTTTTTTCCTCTAAAACCAAAGGAAAATCAATTGAGATTTGATTCAAATTGGGTTGTTACACAGTCTGTTTAATTTAATTCACTTCCTTTGRGTAAATGACACACACAGCTCTGAAATTACACCTATAAACGTGTCACTTAAACTCACAATAATGCACAAGTAAAGCATGTCATTTCTACTTGTCTTRTTGTAGTTTGACTGGCAGCRCTGATGAAGAGATGCTTTGTGYATTATGAGTGTATACCACATTGTCACCATTGAATAAACACATTTGATAGACACAATGTAATGTAAGAGTTGTCGTTGTTATGGATTTATCTTACTGATTGGTCCAAAAAGCCCTTTTTATACCTCCTCCAGACTGGGAGATCATCTCTATAAAAAGGACCACGCTGATGAGAACTGACCACGCAGAAGGAATTTGCACCACTTGCTGTTCACTTCATTGCAAATATTCCAGATTCAGTGAGACTGCAGTGGGAAGTTTGGATATTTTCTCACAACACGGAGTCACCAACTGGTATCTAATAGCTGCTGTTAGTAAGATACAAGTATGCAACTTCCATTTGCTATTTATAATTGAAATTGTGTGCTGCTCCTAATTCCACAGTGATATAAAATCAATAGTTCTCTGAAACTTTTGACATCAACTAGGAAAAAGATGTCGGCAGTGAGGTCAGATATAGACAGTTTGTGGGTGAGCAGCAACATTTAAATTGATCTCCTGGCCAATATAGGCAGGTAAATACAAAGTACACTTTCGCAGGATTACAGAAAGCTAGAATATGAGAGCAGATCAGTTTCATTGTTCATGCAGTGTTCTCTGTAATTCTTTGGATGCAGYTTATTAAAACAGATCAAGCTGCATGAGCTGCCTGATCTGCATCACAAAACTTGGGATATTGTACCCAGCATGAGACTTGCAGGTTTATCCGGCTAATCGATCAGTTATGCTTTTGTTTGTTTGCGTGCACACACAACTACACATGCTTAAAAAGCCCCGAGCAACTCAGCTTAATTGACTTTACAACTTTTACACAAGCTTTGCACTAAAAGTCCATTAAATTAATCTATTGGTTTGTTTAATTTATCCCATTAATCACACTGCCCAATAGGCATGCAAATAAGATAATAATAATGTGCTTTTTTTGCATACATATGAATGGATTATTGGTGAAAGATGCACTATCATAAGCAATGCTAGATGTTTTTTTTATTTTTAGTTTTAGAAGTCCTGCATCAGGAAGGAGAATTGTAATGCAGTCCACGGGGCATCAGATTTTCACCTCCTCTCATTGCCCAGGAGGATTGGAGGATTCATTCTCAGCTGCAGCACTTTTGCAACGTAATCTCCATAAATCTGCAACTCTCTCCTTTTGTTCCTCATGTAAATAAAAACCAAGGAGTTTGTAGTGAGTGCAGCAGCTCCAGGCTTTTACGTAAAAAAAAAGGTTTTCTGCTTTAATTGCACCTCAGTTTTCCGGTTCTGTTGTTGATGTGATTGGTTTCATCCCTTGTTGCTTAAAAAAAGAAATAAAAAAACTCTTCTTTTAGATTTCTTCATCCAAAGGACAGTTGCTTTGACTTGGCTGTTCAAAGGAAATCCTGACTCTTGGTGTCCAGTAAAACCACAGGGAGTGACAGAATCACGAACCAGTGGACAAATCGAATAAGATGGTAATGACTTGGTGATTGATTTCCCCCCCTTTGATTAGATGACTCATTTTTTAGAAACCATGGAAACTCATAGAAATTAGATTTTTGCTTGCCAGGCTATTGCAGAGCTAACACAGACAGACATGAGGCAAGCGACCAAACACTCACACTCGCACCTGTGGTCGGTTTAGAGAATCACAGATTTACCAACATGCTTGATTTTGGTCTGTGGGAGAAAACAGGCAATTTCTCTTTAAACTCTACATGTGGGAAAGAGAGAAAAAAACACACATCTATTTAGAATGATCATCTACAACTTTGACAGATGGCAGGTGATATGTGSACAACATAAAAAATGGGGTTTTAAAAATGTACTTTATCCCTAAGTTCATAATAACAGATCAGCAAAGACATAAACAAGATATCTGTGAGCATTAAATACAACATTTATTTTACTCAACCAATATTTTCATAAAGTCTTCAAGCAGTCAGCAGGGATGCTACATATCATTTCAGTTTTCAACAAGAATGAGTATAGTAGGTCAGTGTGGGATAGATTTTTATTTAAATCATCCCACCTGGTCCCTGCCAGGAAGTTTCTTTTTCTCCAAGGCTTTCTTTAGCTCCTGCTCTTTAATATGCTAAAATTCCTCAACTCTGCAGTGCTATCAAAAAGCTCCTCTCCAGCAGCCCACTTTACTGTGAGGACACTCGATCCTTTGCTCCATATGTTTTCCATTCTCACCATTTATACCAAGCCGAGAGCGCACAACTTTGTCAAAGATGTCTTCGTGAGTTGTTGCTTTTTACCTCCGCCAAGGGCGAGGTGATGTTTTCGATCGTGTATGTCTGTCTGTCTGTTGTTCTGTCTGTGGACAACATTACTCAAAAACTTGTAGATGGATTGTCTTGACATTTTTTTACCATGTGTGTACTGGGCCAAAGAACACACCTTTAAATTTTGGTGATGTTCTGGAACACGATGCGGATACAGGAATTTTTTTTTCCTTTCAGCACTCTGAGATCGGCAAAGCTGTGATGCTTTCACAGGGCTTCTGTAAAAAATCAGTGAGCTGGATTGGACAGCACGGACTTCAAACTTTATAAAAGTAATGTTAAAACCACATTTAATGATGAATTTTTTTTTGCCACAATATGCACATTTACAGAACGTTTTGTGACCAGGAAGTGCGTGACTGCACCATGAAACCTATTTTTCCCATTTCCTCAAACACACTGCATTTTTGAAACAACCAATCAAAACAGTTTCTCGCTACTAGGCTTGTAAACAGAGAGCTGCCGGGCCTCAAAGTTTGGAGACGGGGGGAGCCAGGAAGCACTTTATAAAGAGAGTCAAACCATTACAAACTCATACAAGGAGATAAAACTGACGTTTTACATGGTGAAATGTGACTGAWGAAAACTTAGGAGCTCAATCCGACACCAGTTTGGCGAGTCTTTTTTTTTTCACATTGGACTCCACCAGGAAGAAATTCCATGCATACTGCCTGCTTAAATGTTCGCAACGTCACAACTTATTCAGCAAATGTGTTTCCATCTCTGCTTTTGCACATTAACTCTTACAGGATGGGGAAAATTGGTCTTGGCGGAGGTTTGCACTCTCCAGGTGCTTCTAGTTAATRAATGAAACTGTACACTTTGTCATGAACTTTGATAGGCTGAGGTCCGATGCTCTAGATGTTGTCCAGCAATGAAATCTTCAAAAATTGGGATAAAGGTAGAATTTCTACAACCTCAATTRTTTGTGATTGCCCAGCAAACAGTGTTTATTGAAAGTAAATGATTTGTGGAAGGGTTCTAAAGGCCATGTGTCAAGATTTGATTTTTTTGCTTTATTGATGATAAAGCAAAAACCCTTTGGTTCTTACATTATTTTGATTCTTGTACTTTTTAATATCTCTAACATTAAGTTTTTGTGCCCCTGACTTTCTATTTGACTTTCACTACTACTTCCTCAGTTCTGCCTCATCTCACACCTGCTCCTTATTTCTTGTTTGTACCAGCTGCACTCTATTTCCTCATCAGCCACAGTCAATTTATATTCTGGCAATGCACTATTGTGCTTCATGCCCTGTCAGGTTCCTCTCCATGTCTCCTTGTGTTTCATTTATTGCTTTGCATTTTTTTTTGCCACAAAAGCTTTCTGTTTGTGTGTTAGTGTAAATTTTTTAGTTTTTGCTCAGGTCCATCAAGTTGGTCTGCACTCTTGGGTTCAACCTCTTCAAACAGTGACATCACGCAACACTGACTATAACCAGAGGTGGGGACTCAAGTCACGACTTGGACTCGAGTCATTAATATCATGACCTTAGACTTGACTTGAAATAATATTCAAAGACTTGTGACTTGACTTGGACTTTTACACCAATGACTTGGGACTTTAATTGGACTTGACCCTGTTTAATTAAAAAGACTTGATATTTTATCTAAAATTAAAAGTTTAAAATACATTATTTATAAAGTGGGACTCATTAATAAATGTCACTTGTTCTGTATTAACAAAGGCAGACTGTCAGTCTTTTATTCAACACTCTGTACATATGTTTGCATGAGCTGCAGCACAGCAGATCAAATAAAAAAATGAATAATTATAGTTCAAAGACTATTTTTGCAGGTAAATTAATCAGAAACCCTGCAACATAAAAGTGAAAACTAAAAWATATATATATTTTTTGATAATTTGCAGGTTCAGGTGCCCGTTTCATCATGACTTGAGATAGAGCTTTTAAAAAGAACACACATTATCTTATTTATATTTCACATATAACTGCAACACGAAAAGATTTGAAAGGACTTAAAATTCCAAGTTTCAGACTGTCACTTGACTTGAAATTTGCCTGTCTTGAGTTGAGACTTGATTTGGGATTTGAGGATAAAGACTTGAGACTTACTTGAGACTTGCAAACCAATGACTTGTCCCACCTCTGGCTAAAACCCAATCAGCTTTTCTAAAATGCTTTTTTTTTATACCCAGACCTTTACAAAATACTCCTCCTGCTTCATTTCCCCCTAATTTTACAGCTTTTTTTATGTAATGCCATTATCAAATTTCAAAATCACCATTTTGTTTCCTGAAATTTGTACAATGTCTTCATTTCAACATTCAATATATTTACTGTGTTCCACTGTAGATTCTATTTTCTTTACATTTTACACAGCATCTCACCTTCTCAGAGTTAAAGTAAGAAGAAATCAGTTTTGGAGAAACTCTTGTCAATATTCAGTTAGAACCTTCATAAAACATGAATGAGACTGAAGGGAGGTAGGGTATTTCTTTAAAAAATCACATTAACACTCAAAACTTTACAAGATAGTTTCTGTCCCTGTTCATTTTTATTTTAGTTTTTTTCCCCCTCAACTTCCAATCCTTCTACTTGTCTATCCATCTGCTGCACCTCTCCACAAAGCAATAAGATGTTTGTCAGATTTTTGGTACACGCTATTTCACTTCAGGGAATCGGTTCTGTCTTTTAGCACCTGCTGACTCCTGCAGAGAGATGCTGCCTTGAACTTAGTGTGAGGAATTAGAAGGTACGGTGGGATCACACAATCATCTTACAATAACTCAATGGGTGGCAGGTGTCCCAGATCCTGTCAGTCCAGTTAAGTGGTTTGGGTGTTTTGCATGCATTTTTATGTAAATAAATAAATAAATATAAAAATAATGAATTTGATAAAACAGAGAAGCTTAAGCTCTCAAACAGAAGTCCTCCATTTTTCATCAGTTGCAGATGTCCTTGGACTAAAGATTTTCTGAGAGCTTCATGATGATTTGTGAAGTGGCTCACGTGTTTTTTTCTTTTTGCAAACAGATAAACATGCACATATAATAGCATTATTATTCACCTTTTAAAATCATGGGACATTAATAATAATTGAGATTTTTGAATAAAAATATTCAAAATTAATTGAATGTAGAAAAGTTTTTGCATCTTATCTTAACACACACACACACACACACCCCCACACACACACACACACACACACACACACACACAC